GCCCCCCTTACTTTATATCAGAAGAAATTTAAAGTTTTCTATCCCCTTACTATAATTTAAGAGGAAAATTAAGTTTTTTATTTGGAAAATATCGTCGAAGTTATGAAACAAAACAATTTTTTTCTTCTAAAATTTTCAACTTTACTTGATTTTATTCTATTAATGTCTAAATTTCAGAAAATGAGAAGCAAATTTTTCGCCCCCTTACTTTTATTTCAGAAGAAAATAAAGCTTTCTATTTGGAAAATAGATTCAAAGATGACATATTTTTTTTTTAGTTACCAATTTTTATTATTTTTGAGCACTTTGAAATTTCAGAAGGGGCGAAAAACTATGTTCGCCCCCTCATTACTATTTCGGTAGAAAATAGAGTAAAAGTTGGAAATAAGATACTTTTTCTACTTTTACTTTACTTTTTCAAAAGTCAAAAAACATATTAATCGCCCATAACAGAATAACTTGATGTATAATCTTCAAAGCTGAAAAAGAATAGCTTTTTTTTCCCTCTAAAATTACCTATTTTACTAGACTTCGTCTTGGCGAATAACTAAATATAAGAAGAGGCAAGGCACGTAAATGTTAGAGGAATATAAAGTTTTCTATTTCAAAAATAGCTTCAAAATTGAAAAAAATCTTTCTTTTTTAAATTACTGATTTTACTTGACTTTATTTTTGTGAGTGTCTAAATTTCAGGAGGGGTGAAACGCATCGTTTGCCCCATCATCTAAATTTTAGAGGGGCCCACTGCCACTGAGTTTGACGCAATCAACTACATGCAGCTGTGGCCTTTCCCCTTCTCTGCAAAGCGTGTTTGTTCTTTTAAGAAAGGGAAATAATTTGTGAAAAGGTGTTTTACCGTTTTTTACCCTTCCCTTTATATTATAGTAGGTACGTAATTACAAAAAAGAAAATTTTCATCAACACTATCTTAACACAATTTCTTTCCTACATATATATAATTAGAATGCTTTATTTTGAAAAAAAAAACATGATGTGGTCTCTTCATATAAGGCCCCCTTGACCGTCGGGGCCCCGGGGCGGTGCCCCGGCTGCCCCGGCGTAGTTACGGCCCTGATGGGAAGGCGATCGCATCTGGCACGGAATGTTGATGACCTCGTTCGACAATTGGATCGAATTTGGCAGGAAATACCACAAGAGACCATCCGGGAGCTTTATCGGTCTATGCTACGCCGTGTGTGTATCGCCTATGCCACACCTTATTGAACTTGTTACTGTAACTCTGCAATAAATTATGCAATTGTTCTGAAATTTTAATCATTTACTATTCTGTACATTGTCTTCCTATCAACCAATTTTCGTTTCAATCGGACAACTCCTTCTTGGTGCTACGATTTTTTTGTTATAGAGTGTACTTTTAATGTTAGTTAAATAAAGAAACAAAGTTCAATCACAAAAAAATTTTTAGAATCTGATTGGTACAAATCCTTCGTGGGCCCGTTAACGTACGCGATGAGAGTGCTTTTGTGGCCGAGCGTTAATACGAATTCTCGGTAATAATACGGATGCTATGTCTGATTTTCGGAAGAATTGGTGCGAAATCGGTCAAGTTGTTCCTGAGAAATCGAATTTTAAATATTTGACTTTTTTAAAATTCGATTTCACTGGAACTATAAAGTGCGTTTTTGTTACTTTAATAAATGCAGTAACTTAACTACAAAGAAATGAAATTTTTCCGAACACTTATCTTTCTATATTAAGAAATCGTAGGGACGGCCCAGTTGTTTTAGATGTTTGACTTAACGTTATATTTTGATTTGCTGTGCAAATAATGTAAAACTAAGAAACTTGGAATTAAGAATGATTGTAGAAAAATGCACTAGAAATACGATGGAATAAAAAAAATACAAAATTCTACTGGCGGTAGGAATACAACTACAGAAATTTTTGCATGCTAAAAGGGCCTGGGTACAGGGTGCTTTTACTTTTCTTCAAAATTCCAATGTGTTTGAAAGTTATTGCAATTTACTGTGCTTTTACAAAAAGAATTTTTTCTCATCTTTTTTTTCTGCCTTACATTAGATTTTGTTTCACTACGAGCAAAAACTATAAGATTTAAAATTTTGAAATTACGGTGAGCTGTAGAAAAAAATACAAAGAGTACGACGGAATAAGAATATTTAACGTACAACAATAAGTTCGAGAAAACCGTTAAAGTTGTTGGAGAAAAATCTAGTCGATCACTACAACTACAGTTTTTTCTTCTTCAGATTTTTAGCTTTTAATATTTATTAGTGGGGGTGCCATCCCCTCTACAGAGGATCAAAATTGTGATGGCATGTCTTCGGATCATCCTCAGGGATGTTTCCCAGACCGTCGCCAATAGCCCATTCTACAGTTCTAGTGCGACGTAAATGAACAAGAACTTTAATATTTACTATCTATTGGATTAGGCACTTAATAACTCTGAAACAAGAAACTAAGAAAAAGAAAATTACTTATTTAAGCTTTATTACTTATTTATGAATTTTCAAAATGAAGTATTTAATAGTTATTAAAATAATGAGTATCAATGAATCTCCTAATTTTTTTTCTTCCTATGACCACCTTGAGAAAGACTTTTTGTCAAGATAGGCATCTGAAGGGCAGATTTGTTCACCACTCATTCAGGGGCACCATATTAGGTGGGCCGACGTTGCTCCCACAATAAGGTCAGATAGTACAGAGAATGTAAGAACATCCATGCCCTGCCCGGGATTCGAACCCAGAACCTTTCTGATGCAAGGACAGTTCCCTGACCCCTACACAGGCCGATCAGCTGAATCTTCTAAGTAATTACAGACCAATTTTTTTGTCGGTTGGGCTTTGATAAATGAAGGTACCTTGGTGATTCTTTGATCATGGGACAATCTTGGAAGGGTTTATAAACGCGCTAAAATATATATTTTTCGTACAGGGATGTAGGGTCTAAAATGACGTGGAATGTATGGAAAAAAAAACACCAGGGGTGAAAAAAAATGCGTTTATTTACAAAATCAACGTAAAGTGCTTCTAAAATTATATCATAGATACATAATGAATAGGAAAATAAATAAATAATTAAAAAAATATGAATTTTCTATCCTTTTAAATTTGTCTTCGAAATAGAAATTTTGGAGACCTTCGGTTTCTGTTTTATCATATATATGTCATTGATAAGAAGATAGCAAATATTTTTCGCGGCCCCAAGAAACCTTGATATAAATCAAATTATAGAACTAGAGAAAATGCTTTCTTTAAGCATTTTTAAGTAGCTGTTTAGAAAAAAGTGGTTTTTTGGAATAAAATCAGGTAAGGATCTTTTTATGGGTGAAAATCTAGTGATTAGTCTTTCTGAGAGCATCAACGTAAGCGAATATTGAAAGGAAATAAAATCAAGCAAATGCTTCTGCTCTGGAGAGTCTTGATCAATGGTCGACAACGTTTTTTTTAAGTGGTTCATTTTTTGCACAAAAGAATTTTCGGTAGCTGTGGTGGCTCAGGAGGAAGAACGTTCGCCTCGGTGATCCGGATTCGAATCCCATCGGCGGCTGGTTGATACGATTTCTACTTCTGGCTTGCACCGATTACAGTGCTGACTAAAAATATCTTCTGTGGTAGACGGATCATGAGTTGGTATACCCTTGCCGTTAGTATAACCGTGGGAAATTTTCGTGGTTTCCCTCTCCATGCAATGCAAATGCGGGTTAGTTAAATCAAAAAGTCCTCTGCGAAAGCGGGTTTGTCTCAATGCTTGACCCAGGAGCTCCCTTGTCTTTTGGGTTGGGTTCAAAAGGCTATGAAGTTGAACATTGGAGGTCGTAAATTCAGAATCGGGTCGGCTGTTAAACACCGGTTATAAAGAAAAAGAAAGTTATTTTTTTCTGGTGGGTTACATCATTTCTATTTTAGATTATACATTATCTTTAAAAGCAGAATTAAAAAACATTATACTGGTAGCATAGTCCTATATTTTCCCAGTGGATCACTTGGTGACCCACGGGTCATAAGTTTCCGACCATTGGTCTACATTATATTCCTGAAAGGATTAGCAGGATCTTAAATATTTTAGGAATTACAAGCTCCTGAACAACCTGTTTTTTAAAACTTTCAATATTTTTTAAGTCTTAATCCGACGAAACAAAAATAGGGATTTCAATAATTTTTTATTTTAGCCAACAGTCAAGAGTTAAAAAATAGAGAAATTTTAATTTCGTGTTTAATATTATTTCGATTGATCATTAAATTGAACCAAGTGTAACAAGTATGAAATTCTTTTTCAAGATTTTGTTTTTAATTTTGACTGGGATAATCTAAAATTAAAAAAATATTTAGCTAATGCAATAGCGTAGTCTCTTTTTTTATTATAATTTTTTTATAATTTATAATTTTGACTGAAATAATCTAAAATTAAGAAAAAATTTAGCTAATGCAAAAGCGTAGTCTCTTTTTTCAAAATTTATTTACTTTTTTTTTTTTACTTAATCCTCTAATTCATTATATTCAATTATCATTATTCAATTTTCTTTTTCATTTATTTGAAATTTTTGTTTCTAAAATTTAATTACGACAAAATTTACTTCATTAGTTGGGAGCGGCTCTTAAACAATTACTTTTCTTTTAAATTCAGAATTTATCTTTTGCATGAAGATTAGATCTTTTGTATGAAGGTGGATAGATTTTAAATTCATGACACCGTTTTATTGTTAATTTTCTTAAGAAAATATTTTTAATTACATTTTATTGCATTGTATGCATGCTCTTCGCAAAAAAGATGAACGGTTTACAAACTATGAAGTTGATAAACAAAATCAGCATTGATTTCACACTGAAATATTCCAAGAACAGAGTTTCAAACAGCCCACAGCGACTAGACTAAATAATTCGATAGATTTCCATCAAGAAACAAACTTGACCTTCTTATGGTTTGATTCCATAATGTCCTTCATCTATGGCCACTCCCAATGAGAAAACCTGAACTAAATTAGTTTAAATTGAGTTTATTTCTAATACATATTCGCATTAATTTGAATCATATATGGAAGGTCATTTCTGTTGACCACTGACCGGTATTTAGAGACATGTTTAATGAGAGTACGTGGCACTTTTTAGTTATCTTCCAAAGGAAGAGTTTCTCGTTAATAACGACTAACTTAACAAGATGATTCATCTGGTAAGAGAAAAATTTTATTTTTATGAACTAAAAACTAAAGTAACTTTTAAAACTGATCTAATCATAGAAATAAAATAAAAAATTTGATAAATAAAAATTCATCCATAATTTTTTTTTATTTTTTGGTTTTTAGTCTTTTTTTTTGCGCCATTTCTGTTTTAATGCTATATCCATACTAATCTATTTTTATTTCAGATGTTTGCTTCTTATAGATACTTGCTTCTCGTTTGTTCTGTTATGACGAAGTCTCAAAAGATGCTCAAAAATGATATTCCGTTTGCCATCGTTAGTGGCCACATAATTTTGTTATTAAATAAATCTGATATTGGTGAGAATTGTAATGTTCCCACTTTGAAAGTGACAGATTTTTTAAACAAAAGCAAAGGAATTTAGAACTATATCGTTTAGCCGGTTTGTAGTCATTCTTACAATCGAATTAAAATGGCGCTTTTATAATCTTCATATAAATAAAAAAATATATAATTCATTCACAATATAACGCTTTAAAAATCTACATCTTGATAAAAAAAAAATGAAGAATTCAATCGCAATATAATCCTTTTCAGTTTACATTATGTCCTAGAAATTATTATTATGTTGTTAAATACAGGCATTACTTTATTTTCTTAGCTTTATATTTGCAAATAAATGTATAGTATTCGTTCGCCATAAATTGTTTTTTCATCAGAGAGCAAATATGAATAGGCATAATATAAAACAAATATTAGAATTATGTAAAAGAAATGTTTGAATCCCTATATTACATAAGTATTGAGTAGTTTATAGTCCAAAACAATTTTTTTATTGTTGACGGCTCATTTTTACTGAGCAGATGACGACGTTGTATGGTTCTTAATTTACAAATGAAATCCGGATTTTCATTCCATTTGAATGCTATCTTTCCGGCAGCAGAGATTTTCCAGCATGGCAGCGAGCTCTGCACATTAACCCTTTGACGCAGACTTTTGATTAAACGTATTTTCCATACTTTTTGCATTATTTTATGTTAATTTAAGTCAAAATAAGCGAAAAATATTTATTTTGAAAATGCCACGCATTATTACAAACAATAGCTCCCACGCCATTAGTTGGCGTGTGCTCCAGTGTTTTTCAATTTTAGTGTTTTAATAATTTATGATTATGAAATACAACATCAAACATTGATGTCTTTTTCTGCGTTAAAGGTAAAATCGTCCTAACACATCTTACTTCCAAACATTATTTTTTTCAAATCTGCACTTATTTGCAGTTATTTAGATAGAGAAGAAACAGTTATTTATCATTGAAATTTCTACTACTCAGAAAATTTTTTGATACTCTTTTTGAATACGAACGCAAAAAAATTTTCAACTACACTTTTATTTTTGTTTTTATATTTCAGAACGAATATATTTCTGAATCTAACTGAAATTTTTAGTTACTGTTAGACTTTTGTTTTATAATTACCAAAAATCTATTTTAGCTCGTAATTAGAATATATATATATATAAAAATAAAAGCGACACCGACATCCCAACTGTGTTAAATGACTTGAATGACATTTGAAGTTTATTTTTAATTTATGTATTCTTTTATTTTTTAACAGCAAACAAACAGAAAGAGAAAGTTTTTGAGACCCCTCTTTTAAAGCATTTCTAATTGCGATATAGCTGAATTGCGATAACTCGAAGTTAAGTGGAATAGTTTTTTTTTTCTTTCCCTGTTGCCCGATTACAGGCTAAATTTAAATGGTATTTATTCATTTTTTAAAATAATATTGTATAAAATTACATTTAAATTTAAACAACATAACGTTTTTATGTAATAGGTTCTTTGATTTTAAAATTTAGCTACTCGTTTTTTAGATTAAGCTGAATTTTCATAAAAATAATTGCTGTCTGATTTTGTTACGGTCGCAGAAAAATTTTGGATTGTGAAGATTCATTGGTTGCATATTCACTCTTTAAATTTTTCTAACAGGGTCATTAGCATAAAATTAATAGAACTTAAATTGTATTTTTTAGCCACAAAATATTTTTTTTTTGTTTCTCTAAAAGTGGTGCTTCTTTAAATGAATTCTATGATATTACTTAATTGCACAACATTTTATGTTAAACATATTTAAAAGCTAATCTAACTTCTAACCGTTTTTTTAATAAATTATTATTTGATAAATTATTATTTCAATAATTTTTTAATATTTTTTTATAAGTTTATTTATAATAATAAACTTTTATACATGACTACGTCTAGTCAACGTATGCAATTGAAATACTGAATGTAAAAATTGCCAAATAATATTAGGAGTTAACTTTTTACACTATTTCTAAATTATCTCTCTTGAAAAAAACATTTAATGCATTTTTACAGTAACCAGAATTTTAAAACAAGTTTTTGAGTGAAGTTGCTATGGTAGCATATCAAAATGTTTAGGCTTAAATTTTTATTTCAATGGAATAGAGAACTAAAACTTTGAAACCAAATATTTATTAATATAACAAAAATCAGATCTTAATTTAATGCTTTTAATTTTGATGTACCTTCCATAAACTCTTTTATTGCTTAATTTTGTTAAATTTTTTTTTCATCGCTAAAAAAATTATTACGTGGCATCCACGGATGTTGTTGAACTAAGCGAGCAGCAAGTTATATGTTCTCTTCGATTTTTAAAACTATTCAAGATTCCAAAAGAGTTGTTTGGTTTCAGTGTTAACAAGATAACTTATTTGGAAAGAAGTAATGTTTTATTTTAAGAACTAAAGGTGAAACATCTTAGAAACAGTTGTTGTTGTGTTGGAACATTCGAAGAGCTTCGATGGAAAAAAAAAAGAAAAGAGAAAGAGAGAGATACAAAATTTAGTTATCAAGAGTACTTATGCTTAGCTGTATACACATAAACAAAAACAATCTTTGCAATCAAAATACTTTTTATTTAAATGCTCTACTGTAAATCTAATGGAGAAAAAAAATACACAAAATAAAAGCATTATAATAACAAAAAATAAAATTTAAAAGAAATTTAAAGGTTTTGTAATAACAAACAAATTGTGATCGATTTATTTTGTATTTAAAAATCTTAAAGATAGCGTGAAATTAAGATAGCGTGTTTGCTATTGCAACTTAAATTAAAATAGCGTTTATGCTTTGTTGATTTCTAACCTTAACCTTGGAATGTTATTTTACCTCAGGACGAGTGCCAAGAAATTATTCTAAATGACTTGATGCGTCTTAATTATAATTCCTACACAAGCTCTTTTCAAGTCAGCCTTAAATAAATAATATTGAAAACAATAATTATTTTAAAAGTTCTCTTGTCTTTGAAATAATATTCATGAAAACAGTCCTTAAAACTGGGTTAGGTGGGATGATTTGACTAACTAAAACAGCCTTGTTGTAGTTAAAATTTCTTTTTTCGTCCTTTGTCTGTAACTTCATTTTGGAACGTCGTATTCTTTTAACATGTATTGATGACCAGGTGGTCACTATGTGAAGTAAAGTGGCCCTGAAATGTTTATTATTTGTAGATCAATTTTCTTTATGTTAAAATTTTTCAGTATAGATATGTTTCTAAGGGACTTTTTTACAAATGTTTAACACGAAAAACAAAAAGAAATATTCACAAACAAAGAAATTCTTCAAATATGTAGATCTAACTTTTAATCTCCAAATATCGGTTTCTAAGTTTACTTTACTAGGTTTACGTTTACTTTAATAAATTATGTTTACTTTACTAAGTTACGTTTAATAAGTTACCTTAGAAAAAAAAGTATATGGTTTAGTTTAAAATTGACCGCCTAATCCAACCTGACCCAAATTCATAGAATTTTATTCTTTCTCTTAAAAAAAACTTACGAATGGAATTTAATCTTTACTTTTAAACTTAAATGCAGCTTCCAAGAGTGTTTTTGATGGTATAGATAGAAAATATTATGAAGTAAACAAGTAGAGGGAAAGGACTGAAATGGGGAAATTTCTTGAAATGGAATACTTTGTACGCAATGGAATTGGAACACCTGTATTTTATTTACTAGCAACTCTAAAAATATTAGTTATTTGTTTAAATAATAACACGTATATTTTTTCTCTCCCTAAAGAGAAAAAATGTGCTGTAAAAAATATGCGTGAATCCTATAAAAGAGAATTTATAAAGGATTACGAATTTTACATTACTGCTATGCATCAATGAATAATTCAAAAAAATGCATGTAATTTTATTCAAAAACAAAACCATTCCGAAAACGTTAAATTTAGAAAATCTGATGTTCAAATACATAGAAAAATCGTATGCTAATTTTAAATACGAAATACGGAAATCGTTCATTTTAAAACGAAAAAAACTCACTTTAAATATGAAAATCGTTTGCACTCTAGAAATATTCTTTAAAAAGATGCATCAAGCATTATATTACATAAATAGATTGTAAATTAATTGTGGTGCGTAGATTAAATTAATTGTGATATGTAATTAATTGTGTCATATTTTTCAGATAAAAAAATTTTTTGAAGTGAAAAAAATAATACAATATTTTTAAACAAATGATTTTAAAACAGCAAATTTTTTGAATTACCAATTTTAAACCTTGTTTCTAGCCAAATTAAGACATAAAAAGACTATTTTCAACAGTAAATGTTAAAAGTGAAATTTATGTATTAAAGTAAAATTTAGCATACTTCTGGTATATGATATATGAAGATTTTTTTCGGGTGACAATTGTTAAAATAAAAATCCAATTTAATATATTTTGGACTCTTTAGGCGAGACAATTGCTAAAAAATATTTACTCTAACGTAATTTTATAAATGATATCTTTTTCATAAAGCGAGTCTTAAAAAATGAAAGTTAAATTTAGCATATTGTAGTTCAATTTAAATTTATTCAATAACTATTTACATTTCATTTTTGTGTTTTATTTTATGTATTTTTATTTATATTTTTAGGTATCTACCCTCTGGGTAGTTGCTATAGCGATCCAAACGTGCCTGTGTAGACCAAGTACATCGTTAGAAAATGAAGTAAGTTTGAAGGAGTTACAATTAGAGTTTTACTTTTGTTTATTGTAATTTTTGTTTTATATACAGGACACTGAGACCCTGGGCAGCAGCACAGGTTTATTTGAGGCCTATACAAACACACATTTTTCAAAAATTGTTTTAAATTAGCAGCCTTTGAAGAGTTAGAATATCTAACTGTAATTAAATATTCTAATTTCTTAACCCCTCCTCCAATCCTAACACCTTAATTAATTTTAAGCAAAATATTAACCAAAGTGTAACCGTCTAACTGTTGGCCACGGGTTTGCTAGAGTGGAAGTACTTCGATTTAAATTTTTATTTCCAAAAGATGTATGTGATATTGTCAAAATTCATTATGTATTGAATTTTAGTAATGATATGAAATCTGTCCAGCAGCCATTAAATCACATAAACCACTATAAATAAGAGTTCGGAACATTTCAGCATAGTAAGCAACTGAAATACACTGGTTATCATAAATTAAGGAAAATTCACAAAAATCGCGATAACTCAAGAAATTACACATGGAATTTTATGAAACTTACCCACAATATACAACACATAGTAAGGTATTAAACAACATAAAAAGAAATTATCAGACATTAATAGTAGTATAGAAATTAGCACATGTATAAAATAAACAAATTGGAAGTATCGGTTTGCAATAGAAAAAGTACCTTTAATATGGAATATGATTGCCTCTAGAAGCAATACAGCACAAACAGCGATGTGTGATGCTTTCAATTATGCGGTCTATCAGTTCAATAGGAAGTGAGAGCCATTGCTCTTGTAAAGCAGTTGCAAGCGTGGCAAGGGTCTGAGGGGGCGGATTGATGGCAGATACACGCCTCCCTAGAGCATCCCAAACGTGCTCGATAGGATTCAAGTCCGGGGATCGAGCTGGCCACTCCATGCGAGTAATTGTTTCCTGTTGAAGATAATCATCAACAATGCGAGCTCTGTGTGGTCTTGCATTATCGTCCTGTAACAGGAAGCAATCACCAATTGCCCCGGCATATGGGCGCACATAAGCATCAAGGATGTTGTCTCGATAAACCTGAGCATTCACGGTTCCCCTTGGAAAGACATGGAGGTATGTGCGCCCTCCTAAGGATATGCCTCCCCAAACACAGACACTGCCTCTTCCGTATGCATCTCTTTCACGGATGTTTGATGGATGATAACGGGTCCCAGGTTCTCTCCATATCAAATAACGTCTACTGTCACTTTCTAGACTAAACCTGGACTCATCCGTAAAGAGAACAGGCCTCCATTGATCTGACGTCCAGTGGACATGTTGTCGGGCCCACTGCAAACGGTCTCTCCTATGGCGTGATGTGAGCGGCACGCAAATGGCTGGTCGTCTCGCATACAGACCACCTTCGTGGAGCCTTCTGCGCACAGTTGACGTTGACACCAACCTTCCGGTGGCTGCAGCAAGAGAGGATCTAAGATGTGTCGGAGTAGCGGTTCTATTCCTGCGTGCACTTAATGTCAAATATCGGTCATCGGCACTGGTCGTAACAGTTGGCCGTCCTTGACTGAACCTCCTAGATGCCGAATCTGTGGTTTGAAATTGCCTCCAAAGTCTATGAACCACAGATGGACTCACATTTAGCCATCTGGCCACTTCTGATTGACTCTGCCCTGCCTCTAGTCTCCCGATGGCTCTCCATCGTAGTTCTTCAGGCAAATGATGCCTAGAGGTCATTATTACGAATTGGCTATCTCAGATTTTCAATGTCGCAATCACAGTAAAATTTGTGTGCTTTCTCTCAAACTTGGACTTTTATGCTCCAGGCAGATGACGTAAGCCGAGTGCAGCGCCACTAATTTGCATATTGCAATTTTACTCAGCTACTCTTAGTGGACAACATATGCAAATTTTGCACGGTTTGGCTTACTTTTGAAAGAGTTATCGCTATTTTTGTGATTTTTCCTTAATTTATGATAACCAGTGTATTAAAATTATTTCCATTTCTGCCGTGATATAAGATAGAAAACTCATCCCAATGCTCCCTTACGTACTGTACTACTTCTTCACTCACTTCTCGAGAAATAAATAAAAAAAATGAGATGAGATAATAAAATAAAATAAATAGAAAATGAAATAAAATAAATAAAAAATAAAATGAAATAAAATAGCAAAAAAATAAACTGAATTAATAAAATAAATTAAATTAAATAATAAAATAAAAAATGAATAAAAGCAATTAAAAAAATTAATAAATGGGTTAAAATTGGTACAGACAGTTATAGGAAACCATAATTATAATTACATCAGAAAAAGAATGTCATAGGACCCATCATCCTAACGTGAATCAGATTTCTAAGGGAAACTTTGAAGTCTGTGCCCACTTTGGGACTTTATGATTTATATCAATCTATTTTTCACATATCCAAAATATGCGATGTCTTTAGAGATAGAAACGAATTTTAACCAATGCCAAATTAATATAATAAATAAAACTAGTGCAAATGAATTATATCGAGCAATAAAAGATCCATTTACAGCGCAATGAAAAAAGTAATAATAGTTAAGAACCGAACAGTGTCAACTTAAAGAAAAAAAAAACTTTTCAACTCATATGTAGTTGGAAACGCCTATGTAACAGTTGCGGTTTCAATTGTGAATGACCTATTGGATTGTAGGCAGTTTAATAAGGTTCGCGTGCTTCAATTATCAAAAGTCGTTAATAGACAAGTTTTATTCCGTTTCCTTTTTAAATCTAAGTTTGATTGTAGGAAGGTAAGGCAAATGTATTTATCTCGAGGTCAAGTGATCAAGGCTGGATTAGAAATATTACAAGAGGAAAAGTCAAATGATTTATTAATTGCCAAAATTTTGAAAAGAAAAATTAAATTATTTTAAAGAGTTGCGTAATGAAAAGTTACGAATCCTGTTTTTAATTTTTCGGAAATTCAAAATAGGTGGTAAAAATGCAATTATTACCCAGAACAACTAAAGTGAAATTAATTCAAATTATTTTGGTAAGTTTCGTTGGTTTTTGGTCGTTTACGTTTTCGTTCTGATAATAGGTGCGCTCTCTTAAAAATAATTGTTTGCAGAAATTTATCAGAAAATGACTCAACTTTTGATGATTAAAAAGTTATGTAAACTGATATATACAAAATTGTAAACGCTTGGAAGGAATTTAACTCTGTATGATACTTTTCATGATACGATATCTAATATTTATTACTGATCGCTCGATTTTTATTTTTAATTGTGATATTAATGATCCTATTATCTCAAAAACAAAATTACGGCACAAAGTTATTCCCAATCTTTTTCTAAAATTTTTAAACTATTGATTGTTGAAGCCAAATAATAAATGAAAATTTTAAATTCACTTGAATTTAAAATTGTTGTTAATAAATCTTAGTTATCTCTGTAATTTTTTAAACTTGAAAGAAAATTGAACTGTTCTTGTAATTTAAAAGAAATACTAATATTTTTATCTCTCCTTTTTTATTACCTTTCTCTTCACCTCAAATTTTCTTTTGTCCCGCAGTGGACTGATCGTTAAGACACGGTTCCCAGCAGATTACCGAAGTCAAGCATCACTGACTGCGGTCAGTGTGCGGGTGGGTGACCACTTGGATCAGTGTGCGTAGGGACCGAGGGTGTGCGGTATTGGTCCTCGTTAAACTGTTCTACCATAAAAGGCTCCACTTCGCGTGCAGGTCGTCGGGCTACCGAAGCGGGGATGCCATCACCTCCGCAGAGAATCAAAATTGTGATGACATGTCTTCGGATCATCCTCAGGGATGTTTCCCAGACCGTCGCCAATAGCCCATTGTGAAGCTCTAGTGCGACGTAAATGAACAAAAACAACGAATTTGATTTTAAATTATGATATAAATACTCCTAATTAATCAAAAAACAAAATTGTAGTACAAAATTTTTTCAATCTTAAAAAACCAAAATTTTTATTAAAAATTAAAAATTGTTGAAACCAAATAAGAAAGAAGAGAATTTAAAATCTTTGTGAATGAGTGTTAATTGTCTTGAAATACATAAATTTAATCTAACTCTTAATACATATTTTTAAAGATAAATGAATTGATGATTTAAAGTTTTTTTAAATTTTTTTAGCACCACACATTTGTAAAATTATTTTTTTAAGTCCTTTTTAAAACATTTTTCATACAGGGTGTTTCATTATCATAAGCTGTTTCGTAATCACTGCTATTAATTAGTCGAGAAGGATTTTTTTAAAAAATAAATGTTTTAAAAATCCTTTTCAACAATAAAATGCTCATTATGGTTCGAAAATTATTATTTAAATAAATTGTTGTTGTTGACGTATGCCTGTTTAGGTAGAAGGGATGCGATTGTTCTTGTTTTCCAGTAGCGCCATCTATGGCCAAGAATTCGACTTCTATCACATCATACGTCTCACCCATTTATAGGGCGGATCCATTCATACATCCATTCATTCATTCACAGATCGTAATTTTGACCTGAATCAGAGAACGATCGATCTCCAATCCAGTACCCCCAGAGGTATTGATTTGTTATGGGAACACGGAGGACTTTTGCGACTCGACAGATTTAACGTGCATCAGTCACTTTACTACACGGGGAGTCTTCGATCGGCGGGGTTTGAACCATAGAGTTGGAACCCACGAACTCTCGGACATGCACCAGTTCTCCACCGATCAGAAACTTTCAACAAAATTTCTTCAATTAAGGAAGGCGGAATTGAAAATACATCGTAGAACCAGTTTAATTGTAGAATAAATTTAAATGTTTTTGAAATAGTCTTTTTTTTTTTTTTTAACTACAATCAATTCTTCCTTGTTAAGACATTAATTTGCTATTCCGAACGTATATATTTTTAAATCAATTTTAGCAAGGAGTATAAAAATACATATTAAGGTCTTATTACGGAAACAACTTGTATATAAATCTAAATTGTGAAAGGTTGAAAGATTTATTCGAATTTACTCATCTTTAGCATAAAGATATAAATGTTTTTTTTTTCTTCAGGAAAGCAAGTTTGGATACAAGTATAAAGTCTCTCACTCTCCAGGAGCTTCTAATGTTCACCTTAGCTTTGGTAAAAGCAAGCTTGATCAGACGTCTTACAACATTCCTGAGAGAGATAGCAGGACATACCAGTATGAACCAAGTTCACTATCAAAATCACACCAGCCTACGCATTTAAGCCCAGCCAGCTATTTTGCAGATGGTGGTCATCACGGAAGACCAGATTCAATTAGCAGAGGACCAGGTCAAATTTATGCTTCACCTTACGATTCCGACAGGAAACAGATATCTGGTGATTATTCTATTAACGGTGAAACTCATGAACCGAAGCATTATCAATCAGTTCCTGAAAGCTACACACCCAGCTTTCATTCTGGATCTGGGGTAAATGAACCTCCTAAATCTCATTATTCAAGCCATGACCTCAACGCACCTCTTCACACTTCAAATCCAACTATAGCTAGCGGATCCTCTTATCCAGTTCCAACTTCCCAAAATCATATTGATGTACCCGTGCATTCTCCAAATCCGCATTATTCCGTTCAAGCATCCAATCCTGTTCATCATCCTCAACAGGAAAGAATAGCACCAGAGGAGATTGGAAGCTATGCTCAACATCCTCCACAACCTATTCCTATTGCGCAACATAGCGTCGATGTTCAGCCATATGCACAAGATCCAAATTTAGCCATACCGCCATCTCACCCAATACCAGTTTCACAACATGATATTAATGTTCCCTCTTACTCACATGATCCAATTCAATCGCCACCAGTTGGTGCCAAATATGCGATTATTCCATCCGGACCTCCTTACACTAAGGATACATTTACAGCTGATATTATTCACGGACCACAAACTGGAGAAGCAAGTCCTGTTTTAGTAGCACCTGTATACGAAACAAACAAACCGGCACCAGTTTCACACTCTATCTTGTTACCTTATGGCCCGTCTGCTCCCCACCCCGTCTCAGAAAGCTCGCCAAGTGGCAATATTCCATTACCTTACCCTGATAGCCACATTAATACCTTAACTCCCACTTCCCATTCATCTCAAATTTTGCTTCCAGCTTCTGTTGACTCAATCGATACTGTTGGAATTAAAACCATTCCTTCTCCAAATAGTCATTTTCAACCCCAAGAAAAAATAGAAGATTTAACTCCTATTTCACATTCAACTCAGCTTCTCATTCCTTCTCCCGCTCTTCCATCAAACCCTACTTTGATAAATGTAGACAATCATCATCTTCCTTCTCCAGAGAATATTGCTTCTCTGCCCCCATTATCTCATTCTTCGCAAATTATCCTTCCTATTGCAGTACCTCAGGTTAATCAAGACGGAATCAAAACTGTTTCTTCAGGTTTCATTGCAGAAAATGCTCCGATCCCACCCCAAGAAAAAATTGATAACTTAGCTCCTTTTTCACATTCAACTCGGCTACTGATACCAGTCTCAGAAAAAACTGCTCCTGTTGAGACCTTTCATTCTGTAGATCAAACGGTATCTGGTTTAGTACCAATAGCTCCTCCTTCGCATGCTACCAAGCTTTTGATTCCTTCTGATATATATCTTCCCCAAACGCCTGGTGTCTCAGAACCTGTGTCAGTGCATACTTTTACAGAAAATGGTCATGTAAATAATCCAGAGTTTTCCCTTAGTCCGTTCCCGCCACATCCAGTTGGCTTATTTTCTGAAACAGGGCCGAATCATTTTGAATCTTCTCCTGATCTTTCCCCAGCATCGCATTCTTTCAGGTTGAATGTACCTCAATTAACACCTGGTGTTTTGCCCGTGATTCCAGATGAAAAACCTGGAGAAAACTTTACTCCAATTGCAGTGGACACTCCAACGATTAAAACAGACAATAACATTCCACCAACCTCTCATTCTTTTAAATTAATTCTACCTGAACCATATGCTCTTCCTGATTTAACAGAATTAAGTGGTGGGAATGCAGACAAGGATGAAATCAAAGATGGATTGATTCCTATTGGAGCTGATGCCGTAACATTAGCTTGGCCTCCTACTCCAACTGAACAGAACGCTTTCGCACCACAAGTTCAGTATACTGAGCCAAATCCCCAAAATGAAAATTTCAAATCATCAGACGCATCCTTGTTGGCTGTGGAAGCCAAAAAACCAAGAAGGAAAGGAAGGAAAATAAGGAAACGTTCCTAAATCAGAATTATTTATTTTGTTTTATTCAATCTAAGTCAAAAGTAGAATGCATTGTTCTCATAGAGAAAACAATAACGTGATTTCTTTTGGAAATCTGTAACTCTTTTTAAAATATTAATCACATTCCAAACAATTGTGCTAATTTTTAAGATTACAGTTCTAAAAAAAACATTATAAGCAATTACCAGAAATTATTCTTTTGTGATTGGCTCCATAGGCATAATTAGCGTAGGAAGTGTTAATTTATTTCAATGTATTCCGTGTAGAAAAGATTCGTATTAATTTCTTCATCATTCTAATTATGAATTTAAATTTTAATTGCTATCGAAAGAATAATTTGTCCCGATATTAACTGATAATGCATTTTTTGTTAATTTATTTCAATTTATTTATCTTAAATTACTTGTTTGTTTGTTTGTTGTCTATTTTGTATGGAATCTAGAATATATATTGTTGAGAAGATATAATGCTGTATATTAAAAGAATGTTTTATACAATTTTTATCTTGAGAGTTTAAATGAAAGTATAAATGTATAATCTATGGTGTTATTTCTTAAACATTTCTTTAGTTCATAGCAAATAACAATAAATATTTTTAAAGAAATAATCATTCGTTAATTTAGTAATTTTTTCCCATTTAGCACTCATTACATACTTTGAAAAAAAAATTGTTCCTAATTAATATAGGGAACATGGAATTTATATCTTTTTTTAACTTAAACTCTTTTCCCCCAGTAAAAACTCTTGCATCTGGAAGAGTTAAATCTTATAATGAATATTTGCATTTTAAAATGTAGATATTTTTTTTTATCTAGTTAATAATAAATATAATATCGTATTTAGTTAGTTATAGATTAAATAATATTGAAAAAAAAATTTAGATTTTCATAACTAAATCTTTGCAGCAAACTATTCATTTAAAGAAAAGGAAAAAAAAAACATTTTTCAAAAGTTTTCGATGATCACTTTTACACATAAAATATGGTTTTTTCGATTCAAGTAATTTTATTAGAATGTGTAAGAGTAAAAATATTACGCATAATAAATAAATTAAAAAAATATAAACACAACTATGTTAAATATGCTTCTGATAATTTTACTATTTATCATCATACATATAATTAATTAATAGAGTTATGTTAATTACTTTCCTATGTTCTATGTTCAAGAAATATTGCGCTAAGAAATCGAAACAAGATAAAATTAAATAATTCAATGTGATACAAGTACCAAAAATTTTCCTTTTTTTTAAAGAAAAAATAACTATATTTAAATACGGCAGAAATTTTTTTTCACTCTATAATCTTTATAAATACTGCAAAATGTTTACATGTATGTATCTGCAATATGTATACAAATCAAATGTATGTATACAAATCTGCAATTCTGAACTGATCAGCACCAAATTTGCTAAAAATACGTTCAAAAGCGCGGTGAACTTAACTGTCTACCGACTACATCCGATAACTGGTTCACGCCCTACATCTCAAAGAATGAGTTTTCCATAAAATTTAGTAACGATTTTATATAAGGCGATATACTAACTTGCACCTCTAATCAATTAAATTTGTTTCATCCTTCTTTCTTCTGTATTATTTATCTAAGTTAGGCTATCATAAGTAAAATCAACGTTAATAATTTCACGATGATGACAAAGTATTAAAAAATATATATATTTATAAAAATACTAGGAGGCTCCGCCCCCTGCTCGCTAACGCTCGCCAACCCCCGAGAATTGCTACGCAATCCTATGTGGTTCACGACGTGAACCATGGCTCGCTGCGCTCGCTCGCCAATGAACACAATGTTCTAGCACAAAGACGTAGTATATTATCATCAAAGACATAGTATTTTATCATCAAAGACATAGTATTGTACTTATGTAGAAGAATTCTATCAATGTTCTTATTGGCTTTTAAAAAAGTATATGTTGAAAAAATCAAAACATTAGCTAAATGAGAAACATATTAGCAAAATAAATTATCAAATATTGCAGTTACTCACCTAAATTCAACTAAATGTGTATAATAAATTAGTTAATGCTAGAAATTCTGAAAGTTTTAGAAAAAAATTTTATTATTTAAAAATATAAACTTTAAACCCTAACTTTTCCTTGTGAGATAATAACCCTCAAAAAGTCTTTCATTTTCAAGAACACAAAAATTTGTTTTATCGCCAAATGAAATATTTTTTGGTGATCAGCATTATTGAAATCAATTTCTATATTAATTAACATTTGTGATAAAGTACATAACATTTTAGAACAAAATAAGGATGTTTTACATACAATAAATTAAAATGCATGGCTGTTAGCATTACCCGAGAAATACCACGTGGAGGTCGCCATGCTGCATTTCTAATCGGGGAGTTTTGATTTTGGCAGTTCCCCTTGCCTACTGCCAATAGAAGTTTCAATTAAATTTTTTCCAAAAAACATTTTTTTCTGCAAAGCTCTAAGAAATTAACACTAAGCATTTAGAATTTCTTTGAAAACACAATTATAGATTTGGCATCTTGGAGCAATTACTGAAAGGCTGTCAAATGACTTAACTCTTGACAGGCCAACATAAAGTTGTCCATGACTAAAAACTTGTTTAGTCAATACTAAACTGATTTTCTCAAAAGTCTGACCTTGTGACTTATTTATAGTCATGGAGAAGGCCAGCCTAATTAATTCCTAATTGAGTTTAAATTAAATATTATCATGTTTTTAGGGCATGAATCTGAATTGAACAACCTGATAATGCTCACTCTGGTAGTGCATTCCGTTTTTAAAAGCGCTATATGTTGAGCCACCTCATCTAGATTTCCCATGTGACATTTTTAGCAGCAATCATTGATCGATTTTCTAACGTTGCCATTCGGGGAGCTGTAATGAGGCTTTTTTTTGGTGCCGTGTAAGAGAAATATATATATAGATTAGCTACGTGTTTCTCCTACGATTTTTGCAAATTTTAATTACGCCTGCAAATTTAAATAATGAAAACTAAACAAGAACTATTAAAATAGACTAGAAGTTATTAGGAAATAGACTAGAAGACTACTGAGCTATGGAAAAATTTTGATAAATTGTGAATATCCTATTTTAAAGTATATTATATGTATAGTTAATCTTTCTTTCAGTGAGTTGAACTTTTAACTCAGATTATGGTACATTTAATATTATAAAGCCTCAAAAAAATAATAATAAGGAACACAAATGAAAAGAAATTAAAGGTAATGAATTGTCTCTTTAAAAATTATCTCAATAGAAAATATTAGAAACGTTTCACGTGCGAAATTAAAATAGGAATAGCTATATTACTCCTGTAAATGCAGTTTTGTAATGGATGTAGTTTGTGTGCAGGGAAACAAACTACAGTGTGTCTCGTTTAAAATTATATCATTTGAATGTGTTACAACAAAAACATAACTCACATTAAAGAAATAAAAAAAAGATCGATTTTCTCTTTAAAAATTATCTTAAAAGAAAATGTTAAAAACGTTTCGCGTGTGCATAAAAATAAGTCTAGCTATTTTACTACAGCTTTGTATTAAATGTAGTTTGTGTGAAGGGAAATGGACTTCAGTGTGTCTCGTTTAAAGATATATAATTTGACTGTGATAAAACAAACAAATAGCGCACACAAATGAAAAGAAATCAAAAAGTGATGGATTGTCTCTCCGTTTCCTTTACCAATTTTTTGGAAGAAAAAAAAATGCAAAAAATCAACATATTTATTATTTCATTAATAAATGCAAGTAACTAAAACAAAACTAAATACACAGGTTTTAAAATGAAATTTTACTTTTTCTTATGTGTAAAAAACATTTAATTTACCACCAGTTTACTGTTCCGAGTTATCTCGGGCAAATGAAAAAAGTTAAATATTAGTCTTTATATGATAATTTTTTAAAAAAAAGGGACAACACAAAAGTGATAGTTTCCAAACGCCAGTGAAGTGATGCGCCATTTTTGTAACTCTTTCTTTTCTATTTAAATTCAGCAACCATCGCATATACAATATCACACAAAACACGTGTGCAGTACAACAATCCAGCAACATAACTTGCAAACAAACTTAGCAAACTTCCAATCAGAGCAGATTATTATTGTTATTATTATTTTGCGTCCGGCCGAGTAAAAACGTGATAAAACAAAACGTACTAGCAAATTCAGCTTCGCCCGAGTTTTCTCGGGATAATAAATATTTGCAACAAATACATACACGAATTGACTCGGGGTAATCAGGGAAGCGGTTAAAAAATACCTCAATTAAAAATGTTAAAAATGTTTCGCGTATGAATTAAAAAGAGGAATAGCTATTTTACTCCTGTAAATGCAGATTTGTAATGGATGTAGTTTGTGTGCAGGGAAACAAACTGCAGTGCGTCTCGTTTAAAATTATATCATTTGAATGTGTTAAAACAAAAAACATTTCGCACACAAAAGAAATCAAAGGTGATCGATTTTCTCCTAAAAAATTATCTCAATAAAAAATATTTAAAACGTTCCACGCGTAAAATAAAAAGAGGAATAGCTATTTTACTCCTGTAAATGCAGCTTTGTAATGGATGTAGTTTGTGTGCAGGGAAACAAACTACAGTGCGCCTCGTTTTAAATTATATCATTTGAATGTGTTAAAACAAAAAACATTTCGCACACAAAAGAAATCAAAGGTGATCAATTTTCTCCTAAAAAATTAGCTCAATAAAAAATATTTAAAACGTTCCACGCGTAAAATAAAAAGAGGAATAGCTATTTCACTCCTGTAAATGCAGCTTTGTAATGGATGTAGTTTGTGTGCAGGGAAACAAACTACAGTGCGCCTCGTTTAAAATTATATCATTTGAATGTGTTAAAACAAAAAACATTTGGCACACAAAAGAAATCAAAAGGTGATCGATTTTCTCCTAAAAAATTATCTCAATAGAAAATATTAAAAACGTTCCACGTGCAAAATAAAAAGAGGAATCGCTATTTTACTCCTGTAAATGCAGTTTTGTAATGAATGTAGTTTGTGTGCAGGGAAACAAACTACAGTGCATCTCGCTTAAAATTATATCATTTGAATGTGTTAAAACAAAAACATAACTCAACATAACATAACAAAAGGAGATTAATTATTTCTTTAAAAAAATTTTCAATAGAAAATATAAAAATGTTTTGCGCGTATGATAAAAATGGAAGTAACTCTTTTACTCTTGTAAATGCAGCTTTGTAATGAATGTAGTTTTCGTGCAGGGTGGTGTACGTCATTTAAAATTATATCATTTGAATGTACTAAAACAAAAACGTAACGAACTCACAAATGAAAAAAAAAAGGTGATCGATTGTCTCTTTAAAATTTATTTCATTATAAAATGTTAAAAGCGTGCAATGTGTAAATGAAAGAAATAAAATTTGATCGATGGAAATAAGTAACTTATATTGATATGTTGTTAATAAGTTTAATATTAATTAACTACTATTAATCGTAAATATATAATTATTATAGGTGATATATAAGTTGGAACT